AAAACAATCAACAAATTTTTTAAGGAATTCAAAACAATTATAATTATGTAATTAAATCTAGTTGAAGTAGTGTTACTGGACACCCTCTTCTTTCACGTTGTCCTGTCATTGTATCATATTTTTTTTTCAAATTTACTTATTGTAACTAATATTACAGATTGTAAATATATTTTTATAAATAAAAAAAAAAAAAAAAAAAAAATTGCGGTAATAATTTAAAAAACTAACTTTTCGTGTACAATGGCCTTGGCCGCCTCAATGGGCTTATAACCGCAAGTCGGCAATACCAATGTGGTTCCACTGTGTATGCTCGACATGATTCCGCCAACAGTACCGAATATGTGAAAAAACGGCACTTGCAGCAATATTCTGTGTTCCTGAGGAAAATGTAATTGTAATTAATTTTTTAACTAACAAAGCATAATCAAGTTTTTTTAGAATAATTTAAACGATTATTATTGAAAAAAGAAGGGACCGGATAAAGTTTAAGGCTAAATTTACATTTTCTCAAATAAAATATGTCTTTAGAATTGATCTAACAGTTTCAACGTTTTTATTAACCACCTCATAAAATTTATATAATTGCCAATAACTTTATCCAGACTTTTTTATAATGTGTCATTTTATTATAGACTCCTTCAAGTCACCTTTTGCTTGTAGAGCAATCTTTTGCAGATGAAGTACGAATTGTTCACGATATTGTAATGCGTTAGGCAAGCTCCTTTTGGGGAACCAGTCGATCCCTGTAACAGTAGGTGTTTGCCAAACATTATTTATAATAAAAATTAGATATTTAAAAATTCCATTCAACAGTAGCAACTAAAGAGGTTAGGTACAGTTATTATATTACACAAGAGTTAAAAATTCCTAAACTAATATTAAAAAAAAAAAAAACGGACAAACTAAACCTAGCTGGTTCTATGCTTAAGAGGACATACTAGGCACAAAATCTTTTAGCATTTTTTTATTGGTTTTGTTATTTTTTACAAAAGTACAGTAATCCCAACCAAAATGGATTAGATCCTTATATTAACCATAAATTATGGTTATCCCAAGCATATACTTTATTCCGTGGACTCACCGAAGTAAATTGTATATTACATATTGTATGCGGGTCGAGATCAAGGTTTAACTTCCTCAGGTAGGCGGCAGATTTGGTCGTTCCCGATTGGCACACGTCCCAGAACTTGATAATCCCTCTGGAACATACACAGTAGACTTGACAGTATATGTACCGAAATTATTTTAATAAATTCGAAACGGGTACAGAATTATTTGTGTTGTAATATAAAGTTAGGACTTACGGGAGATTCGTTTCAGTGTTCATAACGATGAATTCTAAATGGGGTAAATGCCTAGAGGTCACAGGTTTACCGTGTGGTTGGTGTTCAATTTCTGGCACAATTTTCTTTAGCAATTGATAATAATCTTGAGCCGGGTTGTTCTCAAAAGCGATTAACATTTTAGCATCGACTTTCTCCAGACAATGGTGGAGTTCGCGACTCATGTACAACGGATTTATGTTTACCTGCAGAGTGTTGAGATGTAATTATTATAAATGCGTTTGTGCTTTATTAGGTCTTTTTAGAGCGTCACATGGACACTATTAAACATGGTCTTTACAGCTATTATTCCGGCCTTCATTGCAGCTAACAAAGTAATTTCCCATTCCACCGAATTGGATCCCATGATGCCAAGTCGGTCACCCGGATTCATGCCCATTTCTAAGAGTCCAGCTGCCAGCTCTTCGACCTGCGACCATCACAGAAAACAAAAATATTCACGAATAGACAAAAAAAAAATAGCCAAGGTTAACGTCATTTGATCTAGTGTACATTTAAGGTATATTGGCTAATGTTAATTTACCTCGTGTTTGAGTTCTAGAAAGGTGATTCTTCGGTTCTGTTGAACGGAGACTATGGCCTCCCTGTTTGGATATGTCTCGGCGGCTAAGTCGACTAATTGACCGACGGTCATGTTTATCAACGGTTCACTTTGGATGCTTTTGTAATAACTCGGTTTCGGTATAATGGACGAATCCGTACTTGAACTGCAAAACAAAAAATAGTCTTAATCTAGAATTTATGCTAACGAGTTCACGGTACACAACGATAACTCCAAAATCGGGTAAATTTTGTTGTAACTAACAAAATGTATATAAGGAATGTTGGAGACAGGATAACAGGTTGTTTCATAAAAACAAAATCAATGTTATTTACAAAAAAATCTCATTTTTAGGAAGAAAAAATATTTCATCGATTTTTGATATAATCTTATTTCGCGTTCGGTGGAATTTTAATAGAGACCCTATTGAATTAGCAAAATATAACAAGGCTACCAAAAACATATTAATATGTTTGATGGTTTTCAATGGGCACAACAGACTTAAAGCATATAGTTCATTATATATAAAAATCTACTTGTTAGTAATAATGTCACATACTTTCTAAAATGTTGAGTGACATCAATTTTTAATAGAATTTTGCTATAAAAAACACATTTCTGGATATCTACATTCTACAGAAATATTTTATGAAGAAACACTGGTAAAAACACACAGTTAATCAATTGCTGTGTGTGTTTGGGACGAATTATTAACATCAACATTGTTTGTGTTTTATTTTTCCGATTTAGTAGGAGTTATTTAATGTAACTCCTGTAAACCTAAAGGACACCTTCATAGACAAATTATTTATATTTAAAATATTGTGTTTTATTTATAAGAACATTTTGCCAGAATATTATATATTTATAAAAGCAGAGGTTATCTTATAATGTTTTAATAAAAATATGCTACAGCTTATAAATAATAGAAATATTGTTCATAATTTTGTTTCTTATGCTAAACTTCAAATGAATATCTAAATTTAGAATTATGTAATTTTAGTTTTATCATAAAAATTATTTAGTCCTTAAAATCTTTAAGAAAGATGAAACTACCAAAAGTTGAATTTTTTTTCAGAGATTAGAGTGAATCGAATAAAAAACAACATGTAAAACTATTGTATGTATTTAGTAATATAATTTTTTCATTATATTCCAGTTAGTCTTTTACTTACCTTTTGTCATGACCGCTCATTTTATACACCGTTTACGACTTAACTTTACTATATGAAAACAATTTTATATTAATAGAGAATTTACAGCTTTGAACTGTTTTTCAAGACTACTATTTGATACTAAAAAACTAATTGAACTTGAACACCAAATGTGATAGAATAGAGTCTGAATCGCTCAGAACTAAGTACAGTGTGCACTAATCTACTGCCAACTAATAATAATGATTTCTCACAATGAAACTCGTTATTCTTTTTGATGAATTTTTAATTAAAAAAAATTAACTAATTCAATTGTTGTTTTTATTTTACCTTCATAAAAGAATATTTCATATCGTATATACAATTTTTTTTAAATTATATCTGCGACCTTAACAGCAAAACAATTAATAAAATAATTATTTAATTTAAGTACTTTGTTATCAAGAACAAATTTAATTTAAAAAATATGACATTTTAGTATAAGTACAGTATTAACAGTATAGCGACTAATCGTATCAGTCGAGTAAAAGTAATATGTAAAATAATTGTATGTATTTAATATAATTATTATTTTATTATATTCAAATTGATGTTTTAGTTACTTTTTGCCATGACCGCTCATTTTATACACCGTTTACGGTTTAACTTTCCTAGTTAAATGTATATATTTAAATAAGGATATGCAGTTTTAAACTATTTTTTAAGACTATTATTTGATACTTAAAAATTTAATTAAATTTCAGCACCATATTTGAGGGAATAGAGCCTGAATCGCCCAGAACTAAGTACAGTGTGCACTATTCGACTACCAAAGTAGAATACTGATTTCTCAAAACAAAAAAAAAAAACCCATTGTCTTTTTAACGAACTTTAAATAAACTAATAGATTATTTAAAAGTTAACTAATTTAGTTGTATTATTAATGTGACTTTATAACTGAACATATAAGAATATATTAAGAGTATAATTAAATTAAAAAACGTAACTTATGAGAAAGATTTACGTAGTTTTCATGATTTGTTTTTGTTTTAAATGTCTAAGAACCAATTTAAGCTTTTAAATCTGAGAAAAATTAACTTCGGGATCAAGAACCCGTAATCATTTAAATTTAATATAAAAAATATCACATTTTGGTATAAGTACAGTATATTTCCGCTTATGGCATACTTTTTCATAGAGTGCGGATAATTAATTCACAATGATAAAATAACTTTACACTCCATCCTTCCTCTTATCCTAAATGTCAAACTTTAATTAGTTAAAAAACTATAAATTCAAAACTGGTCATCAACCAATCAACATTTTCGGTTTTACATGTTTGTTTTCAAAGTTTGACATTGTTGTCAGTCAGATAACATAAGATATACACAATCATCAAAGTTCCATAAGTAAGGTTATTTCAATGTGTGTGTTTTTTTTTTATATTAAACATTAATTTGAAAAATGGTATGGCTTATGAGTCCAGGCACAAAAATAGTTAACAAAAAAAAATGATTATTAAACCAATACTTTTGCAGCTCGGCAGCGGAACTAAAAAGTGATACACACGTGTTGCCTTGAATTGTTTCTTTGCTATAATAATGCAAATTACAGTTTCGAAATAAACAATTGATGTAAATTTATTTTTTAATATAGCGTGTGATATTTCGAACCACTAAAATAATAAGAGTTATGGAAATATGAGCACTTACATTGTGAGAAAAATTAGAAAATGTAAACCAGCATTAATTCTGTTTATTAAACCCCACGATTTGTCAAGGTCAGTGTTTAGTAATATTATTAGGTAATATTATTCGTTATGGAAGTATACAAAAATTATCATTTGAAATAAAGCTGAAGGACATCCACGTTGTGGTAGAATATCAACGGAATGTTATGTACTCTTTGGTTTTACTATTTTTCGAATTGAGGTGGGCAACGATTTTTGGATTTCCATTTTCGAAGCTATAAAATTACAACGACTAAAAAACGAGATTTTATTATCTAATCAATCGTTTGTAATACATAGATAATATTACAAAATACATATATTTACCAACATAAAATTATATATTCTAATAAAAATCACTTAACAACAACAAAACTAAATGGATCACACGACGTGCTTGTGGCATAATACGCTCGTTAATAATACTAATAATTATTATGTTAATGTTGGTATATAATATAAAGAAAAAATGTTGGAATTTTTTACGGTTTACGGTGGACTTGATAATATGTTGGAAATGTAATCGTTCGACGGACGCGCTTTGTGACAAATCAAAAATAAAGTAAAATTATTCGACTGAAATCCTAACAAAAGCCCCAAGCTCTTGCACACTACTAGTAAAAATCTACTAGCTATATTCCTAACACTGGCGTTAACGACTAATGTGCTAAAATATGTGCTTTCCGTTCAAATGGTCGATCATCATTTCACGGAGTTTGAACTTTTGAATTTTACCCGAAACCGTTTTTGGGAAGTCGTCCACGATCATCACGTGGTTGGGAACTTTGAACCTGGCTATCTGCAACCGGTACATAAAACGCATGTTTTTGTTATTCAAACCACTATATGGTATCCCAGTCGAGATAATAATAAATGACTCACGTTGCCGTTGCAAACATTTTTTATGCTGTTTTCGTCGAGCTTGGAATTTTTTACGGTTTTCACGGCGGCGCAAACCACTTCGCCGAGCCTTTCGTCCGGTATGCCGAATACCTTTGAAAACAAACAGCAAATTAATATCACAGTTGTGTTTCATTGTCAAAAAATAGATTTTCAAATAACCATTTTCGATTGGTGTACTATTAATGCACTAAAAATATTTAATTATGATGCCAAAAATATTGTACACATTATTACAATAATAACGTAAACTGATAAGAAAAACTTGTTGATATTCGATTGTTTATGGCATAGATATATATAATAAACTAGATTGCTAACTGTACATGCCACCAATAGACAAGATTGAAGCAGCCACTTTCCGCCATATTGGTAGGAATTAGAACCTTATCTTGCGAGAATAATATGCTTATAACAATCACATATATATACAGGGTGTTCCAGCATAAAAGGTAGGTAATAGGGAATTGGACATCTGTGGGACCCCCAAATAAGCCCCCCGTTTTCATTTTTTTAATAAGTCAAAAATTGAAGGTTTTGACTGTTAAGTAAAAAAATAATGACCTAAAAAAACAAAAAATTATTCCATGTTATTTAGTGCAAAATGCTCACCTTAAAAGAGGGGTCACATCATTTTCAGTCTTTTTCAGCCCCTAATTTTTCTCATATCACTTAACTTATTATTTATTTCTTACCTCTTATTTCTAATTATTTATCTCTAATCTCTTATCATTGAGCCCCTATCTCTTATTATTTATCTCTAATCTCTCATAACTTATCTCTTACCAATTATCTCTTTTCTTTTATCTCTTATCAATTATATCTTATGGTCTCTAATCATTCTCTTATCATTTTTTGAGTTAGGGGCCGAAAGGGACTGAAAATGATGTGACCCCTCTTTTAAAGTGAGCTTTTTACACTGAATAACAGTTATTCCAGTTATAACAGCATATTTTTTTTTTTACTTAACTGTCGAAATCTTCAATTTTGTACTTATCAAAAAAATGAAAATGGGGGATATATTTGGGGGTCCTCGAGATTTCCAATCACCTATTACTTACCTTTCATGCTGGAACAACCTGTATAATATTGATATAATAATAATATATACAGATATATATTATATACATTGATAACACACATAAATCCCACCAGAATGGCGGACCATCGGCTTAAATTCTTATCGCTAGTTAGCAATCTAGTTAATTATATATATTTGTGGTTTATGGTGATAACATAACGGATAAGTGATAATATTTATTTGACCACACTGTATATCAGGAGAATTATTTTTTTTTTTATTCTTTGCTCACGCTGGCCTGAAAGTATAAAAACTAATATAGCGAGTGAAATGCAATAACAGTATCGTTATTTAAAATCCATTGTAGTTTTAACAATTTTGGTGTATTTTATATTTTATAATAGTCTCAAAAGTATTATTTTGCTACATGAAGAAATCGGTTTAGCACTGAGGGATCCATTTGATTTCAAGGACCAGTCAAGATCACCCTTTCCCTTTCTCTCCACATCTACTTTCTTCATATGTGAGCACGACTGGGATGAACATGTTGTACAAAGAACTAGGATATTTTTGTATGGGAAAGACACGTCCTCGTGTTATAAACACCTGAGGGAGTGTACATAAGAGTCGCGTTGTCTACTAACCTGAGCCTGGACGATTTCGGGATGAGTTTCCAGAAAGTACTCGATCGACTGGGGTTGAATGTTTTCCCCACCTCGAATTATGATGTCTTTTATCCTGCCCGTGACCACGCCGTATCCGTCTTCGCTCATTATCAATATGTCGCTATTAATAACAATATTATAACATTAGATCATCAAGCAATATGGTAATCATATTATAATTAATAAAGTAATCTTTATCGTTCAATAAACCTACCCCGAACGAAGCCACTCGTCGTCGACGATGGACTTTTTGGTCATTTCTTCGTCGTTCCAGTAACCAGGCATGACGTTGTAGCCTTTGAACCAAACCTCTCCTGGGGTACCCATTGGCACGACGTCGCCGTTTTTGTCCACCACTTTGGCCTACAAACACAAGTTCACATTCATAATAAGATTTTGCATTTAACGTAGCCATAAAAGTCCTATGCCCTATGTGTAAAGTCCAAAAAAGTAATATGATTTAAGCGGTTATCTCATCAAAATTCATCCTTCATTTATTATTTTATTATGATGTTACTTTACCAAATAAATTCTATTATAATATTAGCAAGTACAATATAGTATAATAAAGTAATCATACTTCGCAATGATCGAGCACTTGGCCAACGGTAGAGCACATTTGATCTTCGGTTTCGTCAGGGTTAGAGAGAAAAACAATAGGACTGGCTTCTGTCATCCCGTAAATCGACTAAAATAGATAATTATTATTGCAATAGAATATGATTATTTATAACACTTATAACAACAATGACCGTCTCATTTAGATTCACTTTGCACGACTCATGGCGGATAATTAAATGAATTCGATTTTTTTTTTAAATTTGTTTGTGTCAAATGATAGATTTAAGTAGAGAGCCCATGTTAAGCCCACTAAGTAACATTAATTATAAGCGACCGTCATCATCCTTTAATATCCTTTCTTAATATGATCGTTCCATGAAATTAACCTTCTACAAAAACATTGCCCACGCCAAACATTGAAATATTGAACATGGGAAGTTTTTTAAAGTGCATTATATATTTCAATCAAACAAAAAAAAAAGGTTTTTTAGCAAACAAATATGCAATAGTGTACGTTACCACCAGACGTTTGAGATTGAAAACCGTTTTGATTTGTTTGAACAAATGTGGAGAACACAAGGCTCCCGCGCAAAGTGCCACTTCCGGTGTGGTAAACGTATATCCTTCCTGTATGAGTTCTTTGGAAACGCACAGCAAGTCGACGTACATTGTCGGCGTACCGTATAAAATAGTACATCTAAACACAAATGATAACCAAATAATTTATTAAATTAAAAAAACCAGCACAGTTGAGTCGATGGGCACTAGTACGACATTTAACAAATCTAAACAAAATAACACATTTGTTTAAGATCATTTTAAATAAGTAATCCCAATATAAAAATACCTCCTCAACTCCTCGTCGAAGCCAAACAACGATGCAAATAAAATGTTTAAATAAATCATTTTCAAGTCAACGCGAATTACATAAAATTACTTCCTATAAAAGCTGATGATTTTGTCTGTTGTACCTATGATAATAATATGCATATAACCTTCGTCTTTCGACAAATTGCACTTATTATTACACGTTATTGCTTATTATGTTTGGGAACTCTATGATTTCTTAAATAAGCGCATCCGAGATTAACATAGGTGCGAATCATCGGTTCATAGTGATCTCAGAAAAAATTGTTTTTACATTAACACGGATAATTTAATCGTGTATGCTATTTAAAATTACTGTAAATGTATTGTAACCTTGCTAGGATTTATACTGTGGTTTTTAATTTCTCGGCAGTAATCTAGTCGAATCGTAGTCATTGTATTGTTATTAGTATAATGAAAACAACGCCTAGGTATTTGTTTCCAAGCAATTTATGAACAATTGTGTAAAAAGTAAAAATGCTATACTACTTATCCATGATACATGTTGAAATGTTAGGGTAGGTAATGATAACATGATGATTGTATGATGATAACTCTGTCATATGTTTAAAATAAATTAATAAAAAACAATAAATATCATGGACAAAACAATAGATGTTCACAAAATGGCAGCCTCCTACAGCTTCATAAAAGGCCGACTATAGACAATACACGTTTTTTTTCATGTGTAAAACATCACAATAGTACCCACCATGTTGGAAAAAACAGTTATCACACCTGGTTATAAGAGTATTTTCAACACTCTTCTTATCACTATCTTATCTCTTATCAGCAAGTCCTCCCTTATCTAAAGAAATGTCTATTGACTATTTTCTATTTTTACAGCAATTTTTTCTTTAGGTATTATAACTATGTTATGGACAATAAAAATTGTATAATATTATGTTATCTGCTAAAAAGAGAAGACAAATCAATAGTTATTGGACGGATAAGCTAGGGCGCAGTTAGGCAATCCAATTTGATTGAAAAAGATCGAATCGTTTCACAACAATAACAGGTGCTGTGATTGATGAAAATAATAACGATAATAATAAGATTTCCATTTGTGGAGATCGAGCATGACGCGTGGATGTTTTAATCTAACATAAATCATAAATACTAATGACCACTGATAGGTAAAAAATCGAGGAAATGAAAATCATGCTCAATTAAAATTCATTCTAGTGAAATAGCTTCTGATCGTGCGACGGTAATTAAAAAACAATTACTTTTCGTTAACAATGGCCTTTGCCGATTCGATGGGCTTATAACCGTGAGTCGGCAACACCAATGTGCTTCCGCTGTTTAAGCTCGCCATGACACCGACTACGGTACCGAAAGTGTGGAAAAACGGCACTTGCAGCAATATTCGGTGTTCCTGTGAATAATGTAATTGTTTTTTTTTTAATGTTCTAACGATTATGCTATGGCAGTTGACCGTACAAGTTACCTTTTGTTTGAGCAGCATTCTTTTACAGTAGAAGTATGAATTGTTCACGATATTGTAATGTGTCAGACACGCTCCCTTCGGAGTACCAGTCGTTCCCTGCAACAGTAATTTTATTACATAGTAGTTGAACATTAAAAATATTAAGTATTAAAAATGGCTAGGTACTAGATAAATGTCAAATTACCGAAGTAAATTGTATATTGCATATCTTATGTGGGTTGAGTTCGAGGGTTAACTTCTTCAGGTGGGCGGCAGATTTGGTCGTTCCCGAATGGCACACGTCCCAGTACTTGATGATCCCTCTGGAACATACACAGTAGACTTGACAGTACATGTACCGAAATTATTTTAATAAATTCCAAACAGGTGGAAAATTATTTGTATTTTTTAATACAAAGTTAGGACTTACGGTAGATTCGTTTCGGTGTTCATGACGATGAATTCCAAATGGGGTAAATGCCTGGTGGTCACCGGTTTACCGTGTGGTTGCTGTTCGATTTCTGGCACAATGTTCTTCAACAATTGATAATAATCTTGAGCCGGGTTGTTCTCAAAAGCGATTAACATTTTAGCATCGACTTTCTCCAGACAATGGTGGAGTTCACGACTCATGTACAACGGATTAATGTTCACCTGCAGAGGGTTGAAATGTAATTATTAAAAAAGCGTTTGAGCTTTATTAGGCTTTTCTAGAGTGTCGCATGGACAATATTAAACAAGGTCTTTACAGCTATTAAGCCGGCTTTTATGGCAGCTAACAAAGTGATTTCCCATTCCACCGAATTGGATCCCATGATGCAAAGTCGGTCACCCGGTTTCATGCCCATCTCCAAGAGTCCAGCTGCCAGCTCGTCGACCTGTGACCACCACAAAGTAAAATTATAAAAAAAAATTGCGAAAATGAATTAGATTTATTAATAATAATTGTTCATAATATTCTTATAAGCTTCTGGTTATTATTTTTAACGTACACATTTTTTTTTTCGAGTAAAAGTTATTTTGGTGATAAAATGCTTTAGCTGTGACAAACGTTACAGACTTTGGCCAATTTAAATTATGTACCAAGGTAAGAAATTGTCGGCCTCTTTACCGTAATATGTTGGGAACTGATTTTCATTAAGCTTTTAAACTAAAAATAAATTAAATTTGAAAATGTTTCAATATATAAACACAAATTTTATTAAATTCAAATTAAAAATCTGTTTCCATCATAACCTTTTAATGTAGCCAAAAAACTCGTATATCTGAGAATTTAAATCAGACCAACCTAAATATTTAAGATGTTGTCCGGTTTTTTGGTCTAAACGACAACAAAACAGAAAGCATTCAATATCTTAATGGGAACGAAAATACAAATACTAAGGGGCGAAAGATAGGCAATGTTTATCATCAATTGATTTCGTACGCATTTGAAGTATCACGACGAATTAAAGGCTAAATATTTTTTTTTAAAGAAAACTTACAACTTTCTCTATGGGAACTGAAACGTTGACTTAATTTAGTAATTTGAAAAATAATATATTAGAAAAACTATAAAATACTTGAAAAAAAAAACGCTTACATGTTTAAGAGTCAAAATTAAAAATCGACTTCTTAACTTCTATGGAAATAAATATGGTAAAAATTATAAAAAAAATCAACTTTGTAGACATTTAGGGAAATAAATAATTTTTTATAATCTTTCTTTTTATGACGTTTTCCTATTTAATGAAAATTTATTGGGAAGAAACATTTATTTTCAAAGTAGTAACTAACAAGACGATTTTTTTTTAATATTAATTTAAGGTATCCTGGCTAATGGTAATTTACCTCGTGTTTAAGTTCATGGAAGGTGATTCTCCGGTTCTGATGTATGGAGACGATAGCTTCTCTGTTCGGGTAAGCCTCGGCCGCTATGTCGACCATCTGACCGACGGTCATGTTTTTCAACGGTTCGCTTTTGATGCCTCTGTAATGACTCGGTTTCGGTATAATCGACGAACCCGTTGAACTGAAAAACACAAAAATTAGTCTTAAACCCATAATTTCCTTTGAAACGGAAGCGCTCACTAAATGAGTAAAAAGCATATCTAAAAGTGGATTTAAAAATATCTTTTTTGCATTTTTCATAAAACAATAATGCGCTCAAATAAATTATTAATATTTAATACTTGTCATTATTTTACAAAAAAAAAAAAGTGTAAAACAATATAATTTTTTAGATTTTTGCTAAACTTGTTTTTTTAGATTAAGCCAACAATAACTGTTTTTTTTTATCTATTTTGACCAATTTAGAGGGCGTTTTAAATTAAATTTCCTCAAATCCAATGTGCCATTCTAATAAATATATATTTTATTATTAATTATTATAGTTGAACCATAGTGTTTCGTTTATAAGAAATTAACAATTTTTTTTTATAAATGTACTAAATTGGTAAAAAGTATATCTAAAAGTGGATATAAAAACATCTTTTTTGCATTTTTCATAAAACAATAATGCGCTCAAATAAATTATTAATATTTAATACTTGTCATTATTTTACAAAAAAAAAAAAGTGTAAAACAATATTTTTTTTTAGATTATTGCTAAACTTTTAGGAGTACTAGTTTATAAACTAAAAAAGTACATTCACAAATAATTCAACTCAACATTTCTCACTTAATTTTAGTAAAACCTATATTTATATAGATTTGTTTTCAATCATTATTTCGCTTAGAACCTAAGCTTTTAAAATACATATAAATACTTTGTATTTTTGTTCTTTACTAAAACTATTGTCCCAACGTTTTTAAAACCCATTGGTATATCAAAATATAAAACTTGTTTTAAATGTGTAAATAAATAATAATGTATACTTATATAATGGCTTTTTAAGCTTGTCTGCTATGATTTTCATTTGGAAAGTATATATAGACTGTTCGACATTAATGGTTTATCATTAGTATGTTGCAAAATAATAATCATAATAATTTTTTACTATAATAATAAAATACGCGTTATTGTTTTTATCATATTATAATAAATAATTCCATTAACAAACCAGTCCAGTTTATAAACATACATGCGACATTCATAATATAAAAGGCCAATTTTAAAACGTTGTTTTAATGTTAGAAATGATTTGTGACATACTTTTTTGCCAAGGTCTACTTTTAACAACATTACATTGAAGAGATTTTATATCTACTGTCTAATATGAATTTAAGTAATTACTAGAATGTGTATTTTTTTTTTTTTTTAAATAATAATTTGATAGAAGTCAAAAACAATCCATGAAGACAAGCACGTGATTTGAAAGTATAATAATTTAATTATCTTTTTAGGTACAGCAAACGTGGTATTATATCTTAGGCGCGGTAGGAAGAGTCGTAATAAATCATACCTACTTATGTATTTTTCAATGTTATACCTTGACTTAAGATTCATATTTAATATTTTTTAAGACAAACTAGAACGTCTCATTTTTTTTAGACATATGCAGCTATAACTGTGATATTATTTCTACACTATAAATTGTCCTTCGACCATAGAATGTTAAATTATGGTAATTAGAATCATATTTTGTATTTATTTAATATGAATTATAGGCCACTAAGTGTTCTTAGATTTCCAAATATGTGTCCAATGCTTGTTCATGTATAGTTATTATGTGTCCGTGGCTTAATGTTAGTTATGGACAGTGTTGGACAAAATTTAACTAAAACAAATTAAAATAAACATTAAGATTGAAACTATAAAATGATAATAATTAATAACAGTTAACGTTTGTTGTGGATTGATCATTTTCTAAAAAAATACTTTCAAAATAGATATTTATGAATCAATTCTTCAGAAGATTTTTCAGATCCTCATTTCGTTTTTCAGATGTCATTGTAAAAAATCTTATAAGTCAACAGTCAATAAGTAAAAAAGAAAAAAAAAATCCCACTGTTTTACAATCAGTTTAAATTAAACATTATTATTCTCGACGACAATTTAACGGGTTTTACATGCTTTTTTTATTATATAACTTACTAGCTACATCTATTATCTAAACAAATGACTCTCGATTGAACTGATAATTCAATGGAAACTATAAAATCGATTTTAACCTTTATCTGTCAAACAGAAGTAGTTTTGAGAGGTCATGGACATCAAAAGTAAACATAATACATCTCTAATGGAAGCTGTTAAGAGAACCCCACGCCAACCAGATAATTTGTCGCTTAATTTTGATTTAAAACTGCAGAGTACGTTTATTAGCACAATAATGAGAAGTAATATTTACAGCGTTTGTCTATGATTAATGATCATCCTGTTTTCTGTGTGTAGTGGTCATAAAATCTAAAAATGACTCTTAACAAAATATATATTATGCTACGTGCAATTGATGCAAAAAAAAAAACCAAGCCATGTTTGGTAGCTTTGTTGGTAGCAACAAAAACTGACAAATTTTGGTGAATAATACTGATTCCAAAATGTGAAAACTAGCCATGTGTGCCGCCTTATCGAGTGACTGAAGAAAGAATGTAAATAATAAATCGCAACAGGAAATTATTTCAGATACAATGTCAAGAAAAAATCACACTATGCAAATATAAAATAAAAAAATGTACTGTTACATTGTAAATTGTATTTATATGATAAATTGCAATGCATACGCGATCGGTTAAGTGCATTTGAAATTCAATGTTAAGCTGGCCATTTACTATTCACGCTTATTCGCTTCATGGACTGGCCTTGTAAATATACGAACATTATCGAGATAATGATTATGATTTATCGAGATTTAATTACTCAGCTGTAGATTTCAACACGCTTTTAATCTAAAGAAATAATCCTGTCTGGGCTGCTAAAAAAAAATGTCACGTTGATGACTACTGTTTTTTTTCTGAACATGAACATGTATAAAGATTCACTCGACAGTAGCGATTAGGTACTAATATTTTAAGTACATATTACTTCTATTTATTTTTTTTTTTTTTTGCTATCATGGTCAAAAATCAAAATTGTCAACGATTAAAGTTAAAAACGTTTACTTATAAAATGTTAATGTATTACAAAATTAAACAAATAACAAGCATTTTTCGTTTTTCCATTAACAAAATTGTGTTTAAACTGTTGTCCTAACCCCTCTTGCGACTTACCCCACCTGTCACACCAGTCTGACCTAAAATTATTAAAACAAACTTAGTCACTGTGGTAAAATATCATTAGAACGTTTAATGATAATCACTAAAGTGTGAAAAAAAAAATACAAATCATGCAAATTGTTGAGGATAGTGTGATACAAAAATATTAAAAATGTTTAACCATTTTGTTTTATTAAGTACTTAAAAAAAACTAAGTAATCCTTGATAAATATGTAAGACTAAATACCTACTTCTTCAGCCGTCAAAAAAAAAAAAAAAATGAATAAATATCAGTCAAAAAATAAAAAAAATTAAGAACATTATTTTCATCGTAACAGACAAGGTGTAATTTTCAAAAAATCCATAGGAGTCAATCTGACTTAAGAATTTATTTTCTTTATAATGAAAAATGAGTTAGTTTATTAACAATTAAGAATGATGAAACTATAAATTTAGGTTTAGTAGTGATAGTAAAAAAGCTAAGTTAACAAATCAAAATAAACTTCACTCGAACTCGCTGACGCGTTAATGTCCAGCCTTGATTTTTTTTTTGTAATAATTGACTAATAGTTGTGCCGAAGTATAGGTTTTGATTTATACATAATATAAAAATACAGCGATTTTTGTAATTGGTAATAAACAATGGATAGTGAAGGCAATATGCACAATTATTATTAAATATATAGGTACATGTTATTATGTACAATTGAAGTATTAGGTGTTAACACTTACTTGTTACCATGACCGCACTGTATCAGATAGTCTTCGATCATTTTATACGCCGTTTGCGATTAAACTTCACTACTTAAAAAAAATATATTTATTTTAATAGGGAAAATACAATTTTTAACTATTTTACAAGAGAACTCGGAGATACTCGGAGATTGTTAGATTTGAACACCAGAAGTATTGGAAACCGATAATTAAGCCTGTGTCGCGCATAACTGTGTTATACACGTTTCAATTGTCGACCAATAATGTCCAAACAAAATTTAAATCGTTGATCGCATTTACATAATTACTCAAATTATAATTTTAAATTTTTCGTGTCATCATTCATTCTATGTACGGCGAGGACTTTTTATATACATATATATATTATACGATGCCCTGTGTTTTAATAGAGCGTATAAGGTTATTCATAGTTTTTTTTCCTTTTAGCTTTGACGTCGAACAAAGTATTAATCTACTACACTCAGCCCGTTAAGTCAGTATTACAATAAAAAAATATTTATATTATCTTTGTGATGTGTATTGTATCATTCGGGTCATGTTTTAATATTATATATTATGTGACTGGGCGAGCTTTCAACGGAACTATGGCTAAGTCACACTGATCTGAACCAAAATAATAGTATAAATCAGTTTAGGTAATAAAGAATAAAACTATGGAAAACATAATAGTTAGGAATAAATTGGCCAAGTAGATTAGTCTAGTGCAAAAATGACCGAAGCCCACGAATTAAAATAAATGCAATCTGAAAGACTACTATAAGATCTAAGTAAAATTGACCAAATCAATTTAATTCAATAAACGAATTGTCTAATTTTATTTCATGACTACAACAAAAATGTAAAGATATTATTAAAAGTTTAAAAATTGAAACAATTCATCGACAAATACCCATAAATTCATCTTTAACTTAGACTATAGTATATGGCATGAATGGATAACAATAGAGTATATTCCTCACTAATAATTTCTCAGTTGATTAGTATATAAAAACAATAATTATTAAAAAATAAGAAAATCTGATGGTTCACTTTAACTACTTATAAAACTACAAGATACAAAATGTGTTATGTTAAAGTATAACATTTAGTGTATGTTTACAATTTAATTATGATGCTTGCCTAGCTACAAATGCGCTCAATGATCTAAATAATCGATTGTTATCCGGTTTATTTTACATACTTAATATTCAAATGCACTTTTTTTTTATTAATTTAAATCCATATTTCTTTTATACTCGCGCTTTTAACATCCGACATGGTCGTTAACACTGCGAAGCAACGAGAAACCCACGGCCGTGTAGACGAAAGGATAAGCCTAAACTGAAATTTACAATAGCTTCATCTGCAAAGGTTTCTATCTGTTTGTGATCGGATTTCTATATTGCACAGGTATTAGAGATCTCTAGTGGTGAATATTTCTTTTTAAATCTCAATTTCCATTTCTGGTTGTATACTTACAACCAGGCCGCGCTTCAGTTCGGTTGGGCTTTGCTTTTGATAAGAAAACTTAAAAGGATAAATTATTATTGTAATCATAGAGTTTCACGTGCGATCATTCCACGAACAATTTATGATAAAGTATCATAGAAATGAAATATACTTTACACGGTGTCTCGCACCCAGTGCATTTTATCTAAACGAAATTTAGTCTAATTGTCTCTAAATTGAAAAGTCCAAACAAATCATAAATCATAACCACGTGATTGTAATCGGCACGAATTATGCGACTGTTATTGACTGTAATTAAAATATATGTAGAAATATCGAGTGAAGTAAATATAAGCTAACTTGTAGTATTAAATACTACAATTTTCGGTCTCTCATTTCCATTCAACTATATAATTATCAATTTAAACAAGGCATAAATATTCAAGGCTGACGATATTAAAAATGGAGAATATGGAAGCTGGTTATTGAAAATACAATCTCACCTCATGATTTTTTTTACCTCGACAATCTGATTGGATAACTGTTATTTTCGAATTTTATCCCCTTCTAACTTCATAACATACTTCGATTAATATTTTTTATTTTCAGACATGGTTTGCACATATTATTATAATCATATCTTTAGGTCTGTGTGCACGACCAAATATTACATACATATAATTACACTTATTAGTTTGAAGGACTTATACTATAAGCACGTATTTTCGTTAACAGACTCGCGCAAAACAATACAGTAATTTATAGTCATGTTAGCTAAAAAAAATAAAGCTATAAACCATTCGTTTCCAAATAAAGAAACATTAGTGTATCATATAAAACATATTGTACTTTCAACAAAATGTTTTTTTAAATGCCTTCTCAAACCCTGGTATGCATTTGAGTTCCAAAAAACGGTATCTAGCTTTTCAGACTAAACTAAAATTCATAACGAAACCCGACCATGTTTGGCGACAGAATAATGTTTACATATTCTAAGTGTGATGCAAAAAATCATTATCACATTAAACAAAGACAAACTATGGTAATAATCTATTACTAATAAGTCAAACAAATAATAATTGAAGGGCAAAAGGTAATCTATGCGTTTGCCGCAAAGTTATCATGAGAAGATAAAAATTTCTTAGTAAAGTTTAATTTATAACTTTAGCATTTGATTGTAGCTATTATAGAAATCGAAAGAATGAAAAAAAATGTGTACAATTTTTTTAAGTGCGTTGAGATGATCTTTTTGATGAACGATTTCTAATCTATAGATTTTTATTCCAAAAGGAATCTGGTTAAAAAGTGATAGCAAGAAAATGTAAAATAAAAATACATTTTTATGTCAACCTACATCTTAGTTCTTAGTTTCCCGTCGACGCTAAAATTGTATTAGTACCAAAAAAAAAATAGATAATATAATTGTATAATATACCATTGCATAGATATCATAGTTGACCGTATAAAGCATGGTTATCAAAACAAAATTGTTTAGAGCTATTATAGTTATACATTACTTTGTTATATAAGATACATTAACAAAATCATCATCATCATCATCATCATGCCATCATAAACACAATATCTTTTATTACCACTTAAAACTTAGTAGTTATATTTGTGTATCTATATTGAATTACACGGTGGTAAACCTAATCAAACCGCTTTTAAAACTTGTTTGGTAGTATTAGCGGTGTTATTTGCGGTAATATTCATTACTATAACATAATAATATTAACGCGCTTTGGTCAGTAAAACAATAAAATAAAATACATTTTCACATTTTACTATTTAGCAGCTCGACGGTGGCAAAACGATGACACAGACTGTTTGGTACACCGCTCGAATATTATCGAATTGACAGTATTATCTCGATAGTAGTCGTCAGAAACAATTAATGTTTTTGCTTCGACACCGTTTCGTGATATAGTTGATTATATTTTATTTTAAATTATACAGAAAACACCAATTACTATTTTGGCAGAGAGAGTGAGGGAGAAGAATGGAGTTACACATGGCACACAATGGAGCATTGTTTTTTGCTCAAAAATAAAATGTTCAATACTTATATACCAATAACGACAATGGGCCAATAAACGATGAAATGGAATTTCTTAAATAAACAAAGAATGTTATTACTTGAAGAAAATACCGTTAAAAAAACGCAAAACAGTTTCAGTAGACGGTCTGAATTCGAACCAGAGAAACCTAAATTTAATGAGCAAGTAACTAGTCTAATGATAGGTTGCATACAAAATCAATAAATTGAATGGTTCATTAAAATTTAATAGACCAATCACGGGCCACTAAATTATGTTAAAGGAACCACCAAACATCTATTGGTTTATTAAACGTTTATGCAACCCGGCGTAAAAGTATTAAATATTAATACAAATCACTACATAGTAGGTGAGAGACTTTGAAAATCACAGTTTACACAAAAAAATAGATGCTGCTTATTTTCAGTCTTAAAAAATATCTACTAAAACAATATAGTTTAAAAAAAAGATATTTTTTATAAGTAGAACTACTAAGATATTATTTTATACTTATTTTATTATATTTATAGATTCTAACGAATAAATATTTAAAATAAATAGTTGGATAGAAATTTTGCTGAATAATTTTTTGTCGAACTAAACGTTTAATATCAAATAACTTATTTTTATACATATTTGCATATTTATCTGTCAAATACTTATTTTATTCATTATTTGAAACTTTTATTCATAGCCTAATACTTTTGAAAGGACTTGTTTTGCTCGACCGCTTTTATCCAAATTTCGTAGGCCTATTACATACAAATAAGGCAACAGCGATTGAACGAATGACTTCCAAATATCTTAATTACATCTAATATGGAAATCGTTTTAGTAAAAAAAAAACACAATTTTCGATCAAAACCGCATTTTTTAACAAAAATAATTGTTATAAGAAATAACATAATATAACGGTCAATAATACATTGTTCAAGGAATGTTTTTCCTTCACATAGTAGTAACGCATAATCTTTTGAAACCTTTAGCCATTTTTGGGAATATTTCTCTAGCTAAGCATATTTAATAAATATTAGAAGGAACTAAAAATAGTTTATAAAAATATACCTAATTGGTAGGATAACTTAGTACCATTTTAAATAAGGTTGCCAAATATTTACTATTCTAGAATTTAGCACATCTGGTGCCAATTTCCGTTGATATTTTTAAGCTGCACACGAAATTTCCGCAAAAGGTATTCTGTCAAATTCTATGATGGATCGAATCAATTACCAAATACATAATTTTAACTGTCCTTGTCTCGGCATTTAGGCTCCTCATATTCGTTTCAACCAGTTACTCTAAAAAGTTATTCAATGTTAATTGCATTATAAATACTGTACTTTCATAATAATTCAGATCAAATAACGCGTCCAAATAAAAACTCATTGAATGTCAAACACTTGATTTTCCCGTTATTAAGTAAATATCGAGCCTAAGAATCAGGTTAGGTTTCAGATTGTATTAACGTTTAATTATATGAACTGAACAAATATGTCATTGTTATTTATCATAATTGTGCCTTAAAACTAACAACGGCTTTATAACTATAATTCACCCCTTATTTTATGTAAGTCTGAAACCAAATGCGCATTAAAATTTAACATTGGCATTATACAAATCTAAGTTCAAAGTTCGAACTATTTCCGCTTGGTTTCTTCAACGACTTTTGTTACAACCGATCGGTGTTTTTATTTTTATTTTTTTTTTTTTACATCATTTTAATTGTAACAGTGTACACATTTTTCCATTAATTCGAGTGATCTAAACTGTCAATTTTTAGACACTTATTTTGGTCAAATATGTATTTAATCTTTCTGTTCAAAGGTAATGTAAGCCTTGCACTTTACTAAAAAAGCGTAAAAACCAAGTTTACAAGAAAACATAAACTGCCATTAAATCGGTTGATTGATTACTTGTTGCGAAACAATTAACCGAACCATACATTAATTATAAGTCAAGGTAATTTAATGAAATAAAATGACTAATATTTTTTTGTTTCGTCGCCCAGTGTATATTTTACAAAAATTACAATGTGTTTACAAATCAAGTAATTTATGTAGGTAGACCATAGGTACCTTTGACACGGTATAATATGTCGACTCTAAATCATTTATACGGAATTCATTGTTATATCAATATCGGATGTAATTTCCCTTGCAAATTACTTTAGAACCATGTTAGAGGTAATTTTACCAAATTCGAAATAATGTAATTTTTTATTGCTTTTTGGGATGATTGTTATCGTTTTAAAATAGCGAATACAATAATATTATGTACTTGTAGGCCCCAGGGACACCAGAAATGAAGTCTAGTCGACCGCCGGCAAAGCGGCCATGGTTGTTTATGAAGTCTTATGAGTTATGATGTACTGTATATTTTTTTTGTTTCTAAAGGCCATGCCTTGTTACAACGAAGATTCGACACCTCCACTCCTCTGGATCAACCGAAATAAGTAAAAGTAAAAATTAATGGTACTACCAACCATTATTGTATAATATCTGTCATGGGAACACAACTTGGGAACAAAGTCAATAAACAAATTTTTAATTTTTAACTTTTTTTTTAAAATAATTACCTTACTTATCGTTAAAGGATTTATGTAATTAAATTAAATTACAAAACGATGAAAATTAAAAAGGTATAAGATAATACATGCTAGGTACCTGGTATCTTGAAACGTTTGAACTACAATCCATTTTGCACCGGAAAGTCACAACAAATATTATGATTTATCTAGAATTAAATACATACAATTCAATTAGTATTGTTATTCAAATTTAAAAAATAAAATCCTTGCTGCACAAATATTGAATTTCGACTATCTCAAGTCCAAATAGATCCGTATAGTTAAAATAAATAGTTTAATAAATGTACAGTGTAGTAATTTAGTCCTGAATTATGTTTTGTGTGAAAAAGTTGCCTATATTGAACGCCTTGGTATATTACATGTATTTGTTTAAGTATTTCACTCGATTCACTAATAATTGAACCTGTTAAGTCCATTGTATGCGCTGATGATGGTAATATTGCTGCCTAAACACGTATACTATAGAGTATTATTTTTGCGGTTAAGGGTTTATTTAAATATGTTATTTCTTTGCTATATAACAACCACATGTGTTGCTTAAGTTTTTTTCTAGATTAATTGAACCTCCTGCATTTGCATTTTACCCCCAAGTCCTAACCGGTTTGGTGAGGTTCAAGTGTTTTGATGGACAACAAATGTATGGAAATTAATTATCATACCGAAAATACCGAAGACATGGGAACGAGACATGATTTTGTAATGTCTGTAACTCGTATGAAGTGGCTTTCTGTTTCTTCGACCAATTAAGGTATAAACAGTTATACGAAGCAAGGGCATCAGCTCTTAAGAATTAAAAATATACATGTATGAATTGTTATAACATGACATAAATAGTTTACTTGTAAAATCAGAAAAAGTGTTTTGGAATTCGACCAGACGCATATAGCTCGTTTAATGTAGACACATATTTTATTGTTTTAATTTATAATTTAAAAAAAAAACACAATTGAAATTGGATTCAATGATATAATTTGTATGTTCTCTGAATACTATTATATCAATGATGTAATACAAAATTAAACTCTTATAATGTGATCACGATCATTTTATTATGAATATATAAAATAGGATTATCAACAAAAAATTATTTGTTATAATGCATTATATAAAAACAAATAGGTACGTTTACGTTATCATTGAATGGACATCGTACTCGTCCTACAGATAACCGTCGAAGGAGATAACTAGAATGTTGAACTCGGTTCGCGGATCGACATAAAAGAAGCGTTTTCTTACATTATGCATTGCAAAATAATCGGTTTTATTCAAAGGCCACATTAAGGGAATTTGGCTTTATTTTTTGACTACGACTAAAAAAAACAATTTGTACTTGAAATGTTGAAACCCGTTTTCTGTATTTTTACACTTAACATAGTGATTACTAAACCCTTTCATTTTCAGTATACTGCATTTGTCGTAAAAAGTACAACTATTTAAAACATGCAAAAATTAACAGGAATGTAACTTTTTTTTTTAATACATTAGTTTAAGTTTACGATTTACCTTTTTAAATAGGTAATAATATATATTATTATGCTATTACGGTTAATTAACGTGGCCATTTCAACACCAATTGACTGATTCTACGGAATAGATAAATAATAACATACAATTGATAAAAAGGTCTGATTTTTACTGGTACTATTTAAAGATAATAATTAATAAGTATAGCGTCCTGTGTTCTCAGTCTGCGCCTAAATATATTTACTCTTACATGATTATACACACAAATATTCTTACATGCAAATACAAGCGGTTTTTACCTAATATGAATCTGTCTAAAAATGGTGTATTCATGATATTGTTAAAAAAAAAATACGTAAAAAACAATCATTCATAAAGGTATCTAATGTGTAAGCTTAGGTTTAAATTATATTTAGAGAAGTAATTTCACTATGATAATTTATCAGTTAGCAGTGATATTAATTTCAAGGGGCAGATTGTTTCCAATTCGTTATCAATAGGTTACCATGGATAAGTTAGGTTAGGTCATAAACATATCATAATGCTATACCAAGGCCCTACCGGCTCCGGGCGCCAGCTCGAGCCCCAAAACCCTAAGTAAAAAAAATTGCTTGCCTATAGGACTAAACTAACCAGATACTCCACTCTGGAAACCTGACCTGATCAATATTTTCCTGTAACTATCCATACAGATATATTTTAGTTTTAATCGTTAGAAATATCCAGTTCAACTCCCATTCCTTGTCGAAAAGTTCGTGTTGGCCAAGACCAACAACGAATCGTTTTTCGAATTGTGCGATTTGGTAAAATATTATGCTTTAAAACGTCACAGATTGCGCTAAGATTTATTTACAAACCAATAATTTTTCGATAAACAACATAGTTTATTTACCTGAGTTATTGTGACGGCGACCGTAAAAACGACAATACTGTTATGCGGTTTCCATTTTTTGCGCAGTTACCTACAATACGTAAAAAATTACACGCGTTTTGATAACAATAATAATAACGCAAAATATTATACAACATAATATAGAAACGCGTACACACAAATACCCACGTTAGCAATAATAATTATTATCGACAGTGTATTATTACCGCCACATGAATTTCGGGTCGTTCCTAAAGAAAAAAGATCGTTGGCCGTTGCAGACATGACAGTTGCAACTTGGACGCGACCGCGGGGCGCGGGGGCAACCGCGGTAACCGGTTACGACGGTAAGCGGTAACCGGTGGCCGGTAATTAACAATTGCGCTTTCCCCCCACCCCCCCCCCCCCTCTCACAGATGGCGCGACAACCGCGCCGCAGACGGAGAGGGCGGCCGTCGATCAGCTGTTGCGCGCCGCGGTTCGCGTGGTTTCTTTGCAGTGCCATAGTGTTATATTATTATTATATCCAACAAAAACACCGATGCTTTTACAGAGGTAAACAAAACGCTGCCCAGACCAGTGCAGTGTTCACCGCCGTCGCCAACGTTCACGATACGCGCGTTAATAATAATAGTAATCCGATCGCGGTGCACGTTTTTGTTTTTTTTTTTTTATTATTTATTGTGGATTTTTTTTTTCTGTTAAAACTACTTACTAAGTATAGTACAAATATATCTAAAAACACACGTACACGAAACTATATTATCGTTATCCATGTGCCGCCGTCGGTTTTTTGTTGTATTGTCGATGGAAAAATAATTATCGCGCCACACCGACCGTTTTTTGTTTTATCATACAACAATAATACCTAATATTGTCACTTTGTACGGTAATTGAAAACAAATCGCACCCGCGGTTGATGGATACAATACATTTGAATAAAATCCACGCAGATACGATACAAAGTATTATTTAATCAGGTAACAATAATATATTATATTATTTGTCGAGAGAGAGAAAAAAAACGCTCGTGTTTATTAAGGAAACGACACCGTCTAATCACGTCTTTACTAGTTTTGTCTTCGACCCATTGCACGTGTCTTTCTCTCTCTCACAAGTCACACACACACTCTCTCTCTCTCTCACACACTTACTCTCCATAACGTTACGCTATTAGTATCGGAAGTATAGTTTTTTTATTATTATTTTTTTTTATTTTTTATTTCAAGTCTCCGTTTCTCTTTCCCGTTGCAATATTCGCAACAACCCGTCGTGCGCTGTAATCATCACAACCGCGCGTCCGTTGATACCGTTTGTTATCGCGGTATACACACTTTCTCTATCTACCGTTCGTGTCATTTTTTTTTTTTTATGTGGGTACGAATTTATATTTAATAGTATAATAATGATACGTTATATTAGATGTATATTATTATATCATTGCCAAAACATAAAAATTAAAACGAAAACGACAGCTGCCGATGATATGATGTGTCGTCTACGTCGGCTTGCAGTTTAATGTTCAGAGTTATGACTTGATCGTTTAGGATTTGTATTTTTTTTATTTCAATTATTATTATCATAATACATCAGCTAATATATTATTACAATTGCAATTTATTGCCCGTTTTCGAGGGGCAAATCTAGGAGAATTGCTTACCTATACCTTCAACAGCTATATACAACTACAGCTGTTATTATTGTTTTGTAATTAATCAAGCGTTATTTTGTGTTATCAATAATCTTGAAACCATATCGGTAAAACCTAACAATATTGTTTTTTTTTATATTCTCAACAGAAAAAACAACGACTATTCGATTTTATTTAAATATTAATAATCCATGTATTGAAATGCTAATTAATACATACCCAAATGGAAAATTTATGTTCGCGCATATTGATTGCTTTATTCGTAAAACTCTTCCATAGGAATGCTTTTAATCAGTCACCTTGGACGGGATAAGAAAATACCTTCTATGCTCCGCATTAAAGCTAAATATTTAAATAAATGAATACAAATAAATACAATTTGAATCACGGAATTTTAATTATAAAAATATTTAATTATGTGAAATTGTATAGAAAAGTTCTGAACAATGAAAAATTAATATTGAAACAAGGAAGTGTTGAATTGTGTGAATGGTATTGAAAACTTTTGAATAATATAATAATATCAAAAATATGCTTAAAATGTACGTGCATTTGTATTTCATAACATAATTTGCATATATATTTATAGAAAATACATAACAAACCTTGTGTACACTTTTTGCTGTTGAATGTTTAGTACTTAAGACCCCTAAGACTATCATAAATAAATTTTAATTTCGTAAATTATACATACACATATATTAGTAATTATGCATAAAATTTGCTTAATAAGTCATGACAGAGGCCTAATGTTATAAATTATATAAAAACATAAAATGTCTACAGACCTTTAGTCAAGACGACTAAACCAAGACGGTTAGGTGTATTTGTAGTGGTATGTCATTGGTGGAAACACCAACATTTTTTCATAAACTCGGTTCCCTCACGCAAACCCAGTGTTTTTCCACAAACAAAATATGTATAATTTGACTGATTGTAAAAAAATTACTTTTTGTATGTAAGAGAAAAAATAGCTTAGTAAATAAAAAATATATAAACAATTTTCACTTATCTCTTTAAAATAAAAATATGAGAAAAATGTCCTTTTGGTTACATTCCGTTTTTTTAGACTACAGTCATGGTATAAGGGCAAATTACCTCATACATGTTAAATAGATCAAAATGTATAAGAACACTAAGGATTTTATTTATAAAACACCAAGATGACCTCAATATTATAGTTCATAAATAATACATTTGAATATTATTTAATATGAATCAATTAAAAAGTGTTACCTGGTCGCCCTACAATACATACCTAATATGAAAACGTAATGAGTGTAACAAAATTAAAACAATTAATCATTTTATAACTTATTTATTAAATCAGGTTCTAAGAGAGTTAGGCACTGGGAACCAAATTGCTTAAACCATTAGCATTTATAGAATATCTATGTGTGTCGTCTTTAAAATGCCAGTATGTAAATCTGTCCTATTTTTGTGCACAGTTGATAACGTGGTGTGCAGAAATAAATTAAATAAGTTGCATAAAAAAAACTAGACATGCCATATTATATATGATGAGGTAGACGGTAGTAGAAGTAAATAGTAATTAGTACTACAGTCTTCTAGGTATCATAATGTAATATTATATTTTTACCCTGATAATATCAATTTTCATATAACTTTCTCACTGATAATTATGCTGTGTAATTTTAATTTTAAGCATAAACTGTTCAATTCCTTAGGAAAATGGCTTAACAACCATGTTGTACGATTTGGAAATAAAAATTAAATACCGTTGTCAATTATTTTTACAAGGTATGACTTTAAAAAGTTTAGCTTAACATCAAGATTTATTTTAATATTGCAAATATGTGGTATGGTACCCTCTAAGTCCAAAAACTATACCAAAAAACGAAATAATGTCTACTTCTTAGGAAGGATAGGGTTATCTATCAATATGTAATTTTATACCAAAAGAATACCACAAACAAATATTGAAAAAACTAATTTGTCTGTTTTTCGGTAAAGATTTTATTGTGTGCCTCGTTTATAAATTGAAAACAATATACATTTTCACTTTGTACATTTAAATTTTGGTGTAGGTGCCATTTCTGAGCTATAGAAAACTTTACAGTGTTCATATATTAATATGATTTAAAGAAATCGGTCAAGTAGCTCAATATGTTCAATACACTCTTAGTTTGGCGTCAAAGCTAAAATACAAATTTATTTTTGAACAGTTATTTTAATTTATAGAAACAAATGCATTTTTTAGACAACGCCATTTTCTATACATTTATAAACTATCATAGAAATCATTTTTGTAGAGGAAATAAAAACGCGTAAATGCTACAACATAATATACGTACAACTATTATATCCTTATTATGATACACCTATTTATATAATATATGCAAGAACGGTATGGTAATCTGAGATGCACTTATTTAAAAACATTATTAAAATTAAAAAGATAACATAATAAGTACAATTTATCGAAGGAAGAAGGTTATGTATACTTCATATTATGTTAAATAAAAAAAATATGTAAAGTCATTATATTTAATTTTAGTTGCCTTGGAAAGAAAATATTTAAACATTGTATTTGCCAACGTTTATATTGTTATTTGAAATTGTCGCAAACAATTTTCACAATTTTCAAGGTGTCTTAATTTAAACAAATCTGTTAAACAACGTACACGAAATTAGTGTCCACGTAATGCTGCTTTGCAAATATTAAGTTTTTTTTTTTTTTTATGTTTAAGCGTATCTTAAATATTTTTGAAGTCGCTATATCGCAACTTTATCACCCCCTGCAATCTATACAGAACAGAATCCGTTCTTCTCAAACAATTTTTTTAGATTTTTCTCTAATAAAAAATTAAATCAACCTAGGTACGTTAGATTTCATTACCAATTTTTGTGGTTAAATTAGGCTAGGTTATCTCTGTTATTTGTTTTCTTAATTTGCGAATCGAATCTACGAACAACAACTTGTGATCAATTATAATTTTAATTAATAAAATATATACAAATATGAAATGATTCAACGTTGTGTTAAATCGTAGTTTTTATTATTAGTTCTGAGTATTCGCAATAGAAAACTAATAAAGGAAGACGAATTAACCGAAGGTCGGCATAAGGAAATTGATTATAAAATAATAATTGTGCGTTGCGTTCGATGTGTATGAGAGCAAACTGGTATTCTATAGATTTGTTTGCGGTATTTATATTATATATTATTACTTCCAGTGGCAGTAGAAGTTAGAACGTCTCATCGGATTGTGTTGACCGTATAAAAAATAAACATTCGCTCGTTTTAATAAAATATTATTTATACACGTGTATAAATGTTAAGTCTATGAAATCTTGTCCGGCCATGTGTCGCAATTATTAAAGATAGTAGTTGGTAATAATATTGTAAAAAGTCACGATTTATTACCTACAAAATCCGTTGTAGCTGCTTTTGAAACCCACTTTTGGTGGACGACACGATGCCGCCCCGTGTGTGTTTATATGTGTGTTTTCGATTACACAAACACTCATTCATCTCTATATTAACATATTATTAAGAAATCATAAGTATATATTATAAGATTCCCATGACGATTATTATCGTCATAATGAATACGTATAATGTTCGATTCGGATAAACAAGTAGTAGTAAAAAAAAAAACTTGTGAATAACAATGCAGATGAGTACAAAACATTTTTCTAAGCCCGTCAACAGCCGGGCGACCACTGCAGTGACACACGGTGGTCGAATGAGGTCAATCGAAGAAACCGGCTGATTAAGCAGCATAAAAAGAAGTTTGACCCGATTCAAAAATGCATTACTAAGAAAAAAATAACCAAATACTGTTCGGCGATAGATTAGAATTGCGAACAATAAAAAAAATACATTATAATAATGAGTTAAATATGCAAAACTAGTAGTAGTAGTGTCGGTTAAATAATCTATGGTTCCCAACATGTTAGACGCAGTTAACGCCGGTTTGCATTGCCACTGAATGCATAAAGATTTAAAGTGCAACGTTATTAGTTTTTTTTACATCCACTAGTTGTTACTTATTAGTTATTACCAACGATTCTTTATCTGTAAACAAAATGTATGAAAAATAATATAATATGATATAATAAATGAATAAACAACTTTATTCAAAAAATAAGTGAACTGTTGCGAGTTGCCTTTAAGATACAGTTTACCTACCAATGCATAATGCATTCTTATTTAAATATACTGCGGTACAAATAAAATTTAAAAAAACCAAACTAAATGTAACACGAAAATGATAATTAATACAGAACGTAATACATATTATGAGTAAATGCAAAATAATAATTATGAATCTAAGTGAAAATTAATTATATGCAATTTATCTT